GGTTTACAGAGTCAGCATATTGCTCCCAACAATCCGGGTCCTCATTTTACCCACCTTGGAAGGATGGAAGGCTGAGTCAACCTTGACCCGGTGAGATTTGAACAGCCGAACTGCAGTCAGCTGAAGTAGCCTGCAGTGCTACACTCTAACCACTGCGCCACCTCGGCTCTATAGCATTCCTAATTATTATAGAAATTTTCAAAGGTTTTATAGCAAATTTAGTTTTGGCTTGATGAAAGGCAGCTGTGCAGAATGTTTCAGTTGGGTTTATTTATTTATTTTTTAAGGTAGCATTTCCCATCTATAAAGATAACTTTTTTTAGAAAGCCCTTCAGATAATTCATTCTTTGTTATTGAATCAACTACCCTTCATGAATTACTCTGTCATGCAGCTAAAAATGTCATTTTTCCTGGTTGTAGTATACTTGTTATCTCAATTGCATTGATTAATAAATGGCTAGCTGCTATCAGGAACAACTAGTAGCTGGTTGACATAGATAGAAAAAAAATAACTTGGGGAAAGAACTGCTGGACAAAACTTAACATGTTCAGGAGCAGCAATTTATTTTAGTTGATGATGAGTGTAAAGTAGGAGCAGAAAAATTTTACCAGATTGTAAACAGTCCAACCCTACTATAGTGTAGTCTTGTTTGGTGCAGATCCAACCAGTCATTTGCTTTGTACTAATTTAAACATTGGTTTGAAAGTCCAGTACTATTACAATACTGGACTTGTACAATACTGGTATAACACTGGTATTGTACTGGTATAAGTAATGGTATTGATAATCCACTACTATTGTCATCTACTATTTTCTCAGAGAGCCCCCCCCCCAGCTCGACTGATGCCGAGTTTCAGTCTAGAAACAACCAATACTGTACATTGAAGTGATGGCTCCATTTTTTTGTACCTGTGAAAGTCAGCCTAAATTTATACCTTTGTTTATAGATTAACATATGTATAGTAATTTTTATGCAAAGTATGCAGGAAATGAATGTACTGGATTTTTTTAAAAAAGGAAACAATGTTTCTGAAGGACAAATTGATCCAGACCTTCCTTCCTACAAAATCATTGAAGAAAGAGTAC